AGTAGTGGGCAGACCTTGATCTCAAAAGAATGATTCTACAACTTGATTGGCATGTTGACCAAGACTGCCCAGCATTAACGTGTCATGTCCGGCAACCCATTTTCATTTTCCTCCGGCTTGGCTTACACTGTAGTCCGCGGAAAGCATTGACTCATCTTTCACACCAACATTTTGGATCCAAATGCACCATAACAGACCAACATCCATGATCAAGCGGTGGAAATCGTTTGCTTGGACGGTTTTTGTGAGTTCCAACGGCAACGGCTGTTTCAGTAACCGGTGTCAGGCGGTGAGGTCCAGAGAGCTGGTTCCTTACCATTTCATAATTTCCTCAGCAAGCTCGCTGTTCGGGGCCTTTGATTGGGTAGAGAAAAGAGCACTATCCAATGATTCGTCCCAGGCATCTACACAACCCCTTTCTTAATTGAACAGCAAAAAACACGGGCAATGTTTTCAACTCTAGCACAGCAAGACGAGCAAGACAATATGAGTGGAGTTGTAGATCTTGGTTGGAGGCCCCGCCAGAATGCGGGGCTACATCCACGTCTGAGGCCGCTGGCTGTGACTCCATAATTCTTGGCCGTTTTCACCACCACTTGGCTCTGATGAAGCGGGCTCTATGTATCGGAATCAGCTCAGATGCCGAAATTGCGAAACTCACAAATGCTGTGAAACAGCATTGTGAAAATCTCATGTCTTTGTAGTTGTACTACACCGGCGCTGTTTCATGTGTACCCTCACAGTAATCAAAAAACCCATTGGCTCCATTGCAGTCACTCCACATATAACATCCTATTGCCAACTCCCTTTCCCTTCAGCCGAGAAAGAGCTGGTTACCCTCTCGTCGGGAGGAACCCCTCCCGACAAGAGGATTTATCCCAGCTTGTCAGGAGGAATCCCTCCCGGCGAGCTGGTACACAATCCAGCTTGCCGGGAGGGATTCCTCCCAACAAACTGGTGTACATACCAGCTTGTTGGAAGGGATTCCTTCCGACAAACTGGTGTACATACCAGCTTGTTGGAAGGGATTCCTTCCAACGAACTGGTGTACATAGCCTCTTGTCGGGGGGAACCCCTCCCGACGGTGTGGCCTCTGCCTCTCTAGGCCGAGGGGGGCAGTTCTTTTTTCTTTTTCTTTTTTTGAAAAAAAAATCCCTGCTGGAAGGTTATCCTTCCAGCCGGCAATAGTTGACCTGTAAAAGGGTGGTTATCCGCGGATATCCGCACAGATACCCGCCAGCACCAGCGGATACCCACCTGACAATGCGGATGCGTGATTCCACTGAAATCTTGAGCGGATATCGGGATTCAACGCAACCATCTCTAGTGTGATTATTACAGATAGTACCGTCTCGGCCATCTTGGATTACCATTCCAACTTCATCCACAGTTGGCTTATTGTAGGTCTTTGGGTTAAATGAGGACAATTCAACCGTTTGTGAAATGTATTGCAGTGCCCTGGACCCCAAAACAGTGTCTTGGACCCAACGGTAGAATTGAACATATGGATTGATTAAATCCAACTCCCTCTGGAGTTGTAACATCAAGGTGTTATTCAATCTACGACAAGACACTTGTACTCGGTGGTTGGCTTCCTGTATGTCACCATTACCCACGACCCATATTTGGGAAAAGCCAGAGGATCCTAGGTCCGGAGAAGTCAGAGAGCGGATATTGTGATACAATTTCACTTGTATTCGGAAAGTGTAAATGCCTTGTTGACCTTGAGTTGATCTGTCAATCTTGAAACCAAGTGAAGTGAATGACAAGGCATTGTTGTAGTTCCTGATAGGTGACTGAAATTCTTGTGCAACTGCGATCATGAATCAGCATTACCATTTTCAGAAATGTTCAAAGTGTAAGTACTACTAAACAAAATTGATAGGCCCCAAAAAAGGGCCCACTACGCTACACTAACATGCTGGTTAGTGGTTTTTGGCCCTGTAGCGCTGTGAAAATCCGCTAACACTACATATTTTTGGTGTAAAAAAAGCACCGCTATGCCATCATTTTTGGGCCAAAAGCGTAGCGGCCCACCACTGTCTGTGGGTCTCCCAGAGCCAATTTATGGCCTCAAAATCAAATTTCTCTGCAAGAATAAGTTTTTGGGTCCAGATTGACTTCTGAAAGGGTCTCAGATCCAACGGGAAGTCCTCCAATCAAGAATTCTGACTGTAAATCAAGAACCCTAGTACAGTGGCACATCTAACCTAATCTCTAGATGACATTTTAATTCTCCATTTTTCAAACTTTGTTGGAATTTCACTCATCAATCTTCTAGTGAGGTCAGTAAGCTCCTGGAGCATGAGTGAAAGGGAAAGAGTATGTAGTGACTATGTGTGTTAGTGTAATTTGTAGAGTTAGTGACTGTAATTGAGTATGCTATGGATTTCTTGGATTCCAAGAAGTATGAAGAGAGAGGCAAATAGAGGCAAACATCACATTGTTTATTATTGGTTTTAGATTGAGACATACAGGTAGCAAAGCAGTCATAGAATAAGATAAATGAGCAAACACCTTTCTTGCATTTAAGACAGATTAGGATGAATACTTAGAATATTCCTGAGTATATAGAGCACACTGTGGTTGTGGCAAATCTATTCTTCTCTTTTTCTTCCTCACATTTCACTCATTTGTCACCAGAGTTCTGTTCTTTTTTCTTATCCATTATGCTCATGGTTTGTTTTTTATGCTCCCACAACTTGAACATCATGTATTCCAATTATTTAAAGCTCTAGATCCATGAGGATATGAAGATCATCAGTTCTGACTGTAGTTTTCCTCCAAGTGTCACTTGAGCCACATCAGAGTCTTACACAAAGCCACTTAAGCCTCTTTGTCTGAGTGTATAGGTTATCTTTTCAAACCTTGTCCAACTTTGGCTCTGCCAAATTTCCCCTCCTCTTTGCATATCATTTTAACAAACTTCAAATTTATTTGCTGTTCTCTCTCTCTATACTGCTGGTAGCCACCAGATAGTGCTGACTGCTGTACCTGGTACTCATCTCTTGTTAAAAAAAAGCAATCGAGTACTGGGTGTTAATGGGTTCTGAGAG